GTAACATAATCAATAAACACATATTCAACACAGCAAATGCCAACCAAGAATACTTTACCCTACAAAGCTCTCCTTCCTCTATGAAGAAAAAATATGGACCTTCTCAGATAAACAGAAACTCCAGAAATTCATTACAAATAAACCCTCACTCCAAAAAATTCTACAAGAAGTCCCAAAGCCAAAACCAATAGAGGAATGAACAAGAACAGAATAAAGCAAGGAATAAAATCACAAAGAAGATAAACAACACGGCAAACACAGATGCCAACATATCAATAATTACTCTAAATGTAAATGGATTAAACTCATCAATAAAGAGACACAGAGTAGCAGGCTGGATTAAAAAACAAAATCCAACCTTCTGCTGTCTCCAGGAAACACATTTAACCACAAAAGATAAACATAGCCTGAAAGTAAAAGGTTCAAAAACAATCCTACAAACAAATGGACCAAAAAAGAAGGCAAAAACAGCTATACTTATATCAGATGAAATAGACTTCAAATTAAAAAAGGTAAAAAGAGACAAAGACGGATACTACATTATGATCAAGGGAACAATTCACCAGGAAGAAATAACACTCACCAAATGAAGGAGCACCAAAATATATTAGACAATTATTATCAGCTCTGAAAACAGACATTAAAGAAAATACATTTATAGTGGGAGACTTCAAAATCCCAGTATCACCAATGGACAGATCAATAAGACAAAAAGTAAAGAGATGCTAGAGCCCTAAATAAAGACATAGAACTCATGGACTTAACAGACATCTATAGGACACTGCACCCAAAAAAACCCCGAGTACATATTTTTCTCAAGCACACACAGATCATTCTCCAGAACTGATCACATACTGGGCCACAAGACAAACATCAACGGATACATGAAGATCAAAATCATTCAAACTATCTTCTCCGATCATAAAGGCTCCAAACTAGAAATTCATCATGAAAAGAAAACAAGGAACCCTCCCACTTCATGGAGATTGAAATCCACACTACTGGAAGAACATTGTACTAAAGAGGAGATCAAAAAAGAAATTAAAAAAACACTTTGAATTGAACAACAAGGAGGATGCCACTTTCCAGAATGTATGGTATGCAGCAAAAGAAGTAATAACAGGAAAATATATAGCAATTCAGGCGCACATCAAGAAACAAGAAAGAACTCAAAGACAACTTAATCTCACACCTCCAAGGACTAGAAAAAGAACAACACAAAAAAACCTGAAGATGGTAGAAGATAGGAAATAATAAAAATCAAAGCATAAATAAACGCAATGGAAATTGAAAAAATCTACCCAAAAGATCAATGAGGGCCTCCCCGTTGGCGCAGTGGTTGAGCGCTGGGTTGCAAAGCTGCCCGCAGCCTGTGTGGTGCAGGTTCGATGATACCTGGCTGCTCCCGGGCCACCAGAGAAGGGTCCCGCATGGCGCGCAGACCTCTCCTACCGCCCGCTGCTCTCCTCAGCAGTGTACTTCGGTCCTTCTGCCTGCTCTGCTCCCCGCTCTGGCTCTGGTGAATTCTCTCACCCTCCTGCGCTTCTGACTGTACCCAGTGCTTGTATAAATAAATAAATAAATCTTAAAAAAAAAAAGATCAATGAAACCAAAAGTTGGTTCTTTGAAAAAATAAACAAAATAGTCAAACCTCTAGCCAGGCTCACAAAGAAAAAACGGGAGAAAACACATATAAATCGGATTATAAATGAAAGAGGAGAAATCACAACAGACTCAGTAGAAATCAAAAGAATAATCAGAGATGAGTATTATCACTTATATGCAAACAAATTCAACAACCTAGAAGAGATGGACAAATTCCTAGAACGATATAATCATCCAAAGCTGGACAAAGAAGAAATAGAACACCTAAACAGACCAATTATAAGCAGCAAAATTGAGGCAGTAATCAAAGCACTCCCCAAAAACAAAAGCCCAGGTCCAGACAGCTTCACAAATGAATTCTACCAAACATTCAGCAGTGTATTAGTGCCTATCCTACACAAACTCTTTCAAAAAATTGAAAAAGAAGGTATATTACCAAATACATTCTACGAAGCCAGCATTACACTAATACCAAAGCCAAACAAACACAGTGCAAAAAAGAGAAAATTACAGGCCAATCTCCCTAATGAACACTCATGCAAAAATCCTCAACAAAATACTTGCCAACAGAATCCAACAATGCATCAAAGGGATAATACACCATGATCAAGTGGGATTCATCCCAGAGGCACAAGGATGTTTCAATATTAGAAAATTGATCAGTGTAATCCAACACATCAACAAACAGAAAAGTAAAAACCATATGATATATCAATAGATGCTGAAAAAACATTTGACAAAGTCCAACATCCATTTATGATGAAGGCCCTTGAAATTCTTGGGATAGAAGGAACATACCTTAACATGATAAAAGCCATATATGACAAACCAACCGCCAATATTATTCTCAATGGCGAAAAGCTGAAGGTCTTTCCTTTAAGATCAGGAAGAAGACAAGGATGTCTTCTCTCACCACTGCTCTTCAATATAATACTGGAGGTCTTAGCCAGGGCAGTAAGACAAAAGAAAGATATACAAGGAATCCAGATTGGGAAAGAAGAAGTAAAACTATCACTATATGCAGAGGATATGATGATACACACAGAGAACCCAAAAGCTCCACAGAAAAACTACTCGAAATAAACAACCAGTTCAGTAAAGTAGCAGGATACAATATCAACACGCAAAAATTAGTAGTAGCCTTCCTATAGACAATCAATCTGAAGAAGAAATCAAGAAAACCATCCCTTTTATAATTGAAACAAAAAAAATCAAATACTTGGGAATAAACCTAACAAAAGAGGTGAAAGACCTATACAAAGAAAATTATAAAACACTGTTAAAAGAAATTGAAGAAGACACAAAGAAATGGAAAGACATCCCCTGTTCATGGATTGGAAGAATTAACACTATTAAATGGCCATCCTACTAAAAGCAATATACAGATTCAATGCTATTCCAATAAAAATCTCAATGACATTCTTCAAAGAAATAGAACAAATACTGATGAAATTCGTATGGAACCACAAAAAACAATGAATAGCCAAAGCCCTACTGATGAAAACAAAGGAGAAAGGAGGTCTCACACTTCAAATGTCAAGCTATACTACAAAGCCATAATAATTAAAACAGTTTGGTACTGGAACAAAAACAGACACACAGACCAATGGAACCAAATAGAGAGCCCAGAAATAAAACCATACTTATATGGACAAGTGATCTTTGACAAAGGAGCAAGGACAGTTTGTTCAATAAATGGTGCTGGGAAAACATTGCTGCTATATGCAAAAAAATGAAACTAGACTACTACCTCACACCATGCACAAAAACCAACTCAAAATGAACTGGACATAAGACCTGAAACCATAAAATATATAGAAGAAAATACAGGTAAAACACTACAAGACATGCATCTCAGTAACATCTTCAAAGACACATCCCCCAAAGCAAAGAAAGTGAAGGAAAAGATGAACAGCTGGGACTACATCAAATTAAAGAGCTTCAGTATAACAAAAGAGACATTAACCAAAACAAAGAGACACCCTACTGATTAGAAGAAAATTTTTGCACACAATACTAATGACAAGGGACTAATCACAAAGATCTACAAAGAGCTGATGAGACTAACAAAAAGAAAGTAAACAATCCAGTCATAAATGGGCAGAAGAACTAAAAAGACACTTCTCCAAAGAGGAAATGCAAATGGCCAACAGGTATATGAAAAATTGTTGAACATCACTTCTAATCAGGGAAATGCAAATCAAAACCACAATGAGATACCACCTTACACCAGCAAGAATGGCACATATTAAAAAAACAGTAAACAACAAATGTTGGCGAGACTGTAGAGAAAAAGGAACTCTCCTATAGTGCTGGTGGGAATGCAAACTGGTCCAACCACTATGGAAAGCTGTGTGGAGGCTCCTCAAACAACTAAAGATGTAGCTTTCATATGACCCAGCTATTCCACTCCTAGGAATCTATCCAAAGGACACAAAAACATTAAATCAAAAGGATACCTGCACCCCTATGTTTATTGCAGCACTATTTACAATAGGTAAACCCCAGAATCAACCCAAATGCCCAAAAATAGATGTCTGGATCAAGATGTAGTATATGTACACAATGGGATACTATTTAACAATCAAAAAAGATAAACTCATGCCATTTGCAGCAACATGGATGGAGCTGGAAGGGATTATGCTCAGTGAAATAAGCCAGAAGGAAAATTAATATATCAGATTAGGAGGATACTTATTGGAGGAATGTAAGGGAACCAAATAAGGGACCAGGAAAAAAATAATTATAATAAATTAAAAAACAAAATTAACAGGCAACTATTAATCAGCGACACTCTGCAGGTGAGAAAAGGGAGAGGGATCAAAGCAGGTGAGGGAATGTGTTCTTACATAAGGGACTATGGTGATGGTACACAGATGAATTGGTGGTGGGAGCTTTGCAGGAAGTACACGTGAGAAGATAAAGCATGCATTGTACAAAAAGGAAGAATGAAGAAAAAATATATAATTAAATTTAATTTAATAAAAAACATAAAGACCAAAAATTAACAACAATATAAGAAAATATAAGAAATTCAATATTAAAAAACATACAAAGAACTCACAACTAAATAGCAAAAAAAATCACAAACAATCCAACTTAAAAATGGGTAGATTATCTAAATAGACATATTTCCAAAGAAGATATACAGGTGGCCAACTGGTACATGACAAGGTGCTCAACATCACTAATCATCAGGAAATGCAAATCAAAAATCACAATGAGATATCACCTCACAGTTGTTGGAATGCCTATTATAAAAAAGATAAGGAAAAATTAGTTTTGAAGAGGAGAAAAGGAAAACCTCTCACATTGTTGGTAGGAATATAAACTGGTACAGCCACTATGTAAACAGTATGCAGGTTCCTCAAAAATTTAGTAATAGGACTATCCTAGTGGTCTGGGGAAAGGCTCCTGTGTTGTTGAACATGCCCAACAGGGAGTATAGCCCTGTAGCAGGCAACCACAACCTGACCTAAAGTGAATTCCCTGGAGTTTTTCCTGGATTTTGAATTTGCCATAACAGGTGTGAACATTCTAGCATCAGTTTTATGATCATATATGACACCGCAAAAACAAGACCATAAATAGATAAATTAAATTAAATTAAAATAGAACTACCCTATATCCAGCAATTCTATTTCTGGGCATTTATCTGAAGGAAACAAAAATCCTAACTTGAAAAGATACATATACCACCATGTGTTTGCTGCAGCTTTATTTATAATAGTCAAGACATGGAAGCAAACTATATGGCCATGAATGAATGAATGGATAAAGAAAATGTGAGATACACACACACACACACACACACACGCACAAAGCAACACACCCATTAAAATGGAAATCTTGCCTTTTGCATCACGGATGACTCTTGAGTACATTATGCTAAGTGAAATAAGTCAGACAGGCAGACAATAACATATGACCATATGATCTCACTTAATATGCAGAAGCAAAAAAAAGACCCCAAGCTCACAGATACAAAGAACAGATAGGTGGTTTCCAGAGGCAGGGGATGAGAAGTGTGTAAAATAGGTGAAAGTGGTTAAAAGGCACAAATATCCAGTTATAAATCAGTCATGTGAATTTGCTGTATAGCATTGTGACTTTCAGCATTGAAAGTTGCTGGGGCCTCCCTGGTGGCACAAAGGGTTAAGAGTCAGCACTATGAAGCAATCCACAGCTACCACACAAGTTTGATCCCCGGCCAGGGAGGTGACCCACATGGCGCGGCAGACCTCTCCTGTCTCAACCCACTGCTCCCCTCAGCAGTGAATTTCAATCAGTCTGCCTGTTCTGCTCCCCACTCTGTCTCTGGTGAATTGTCTCACCCTCCCACACCTCTGGCCTACACCCCAGGTCTTGCATGCATAAATAAATAAATATTTTTTTAAAAAAGGAAATCCTGCCAAATGCAGCACGAATTAACCTTAACAGTATCATTAAGCTAAGTGAGATAAGTCAAGACAGAAAAAGAAATACTGTATGACCTCACTTATATGTGGAATCTTTTTAAAAAAAAAACAAAAAAAAAAAACCAAACTCATAGAAAAAGGGGGGATGTAGAGGGGGGTCACTGGAGGACAGTAGTCAAATGGTACAAACTTCCTGTTAGTACCAGGGATGTTGTGTATAACATGATGACTGTAGTTAACATTGCTGCATAATATACATAAAAATTGTTAGGAGAGTAAAGAGTTTTCATCACAGGGAGAAAAATATTTTTTTCCTTTTCTTTTTATTCTATCTATATGAGATGATAGATGTTAACTTACTGCAGCAATCATTTCATAGTATATGTAAGACAAATCATTATGCTATATACTTTAAACTTATACAATGATGTATGCCAATTATACCTTAATAAAACTAAAAAAAAAGAATAAAAAAATGAACAGAGTTTCATCAATCTATAAAGACTAAAACAAAAGATAAACCCAAAAAAATCCATATTGGGAAATAGCAATACTCAAACTCCTGAATGCAAAGGGCAAAGGAAAAATCTTGAAGGCAGGGGCCTCCCTGGTGGCGCAGGCGGTTGAGCACCGCACTGTGAAGCTGTCTGCAGCCTCTGCAGTGTGGGTTCAATCCCGGTTGGCCGGCGAGAATCCCACATGGCGCTGCAGACCTCTCCTGTCTTGCCCACTGGTCCCCTCAGGAGTGTATTTCGTCAGTCTACCTGTTCTGTTCCCCGCTCTGTCTCTGGTGAATCCTCTCGCCCTCCCGCGTATCTGGCCTATACCCTGGTTCTTGTATAAATAAATAAATCTCTAAAAAAAAAGAAAAATCTTGAAGGCAGTGAGAGACAAGTGAAAAATTACCTAAAGGAGAACACTGATTGTAAGGACAGAGGCTATCTCATCAGAAAACATAGAGGCTAAAAGGAAGTAGCAAAACGGTTTTCAACTGCTGAAAGAAAAGAACTTGAAAACCCAAAATCTGATATCAAATGAAAAGATCCTTCAGGAATTCAAGGGGAATCAAGACATTTTCATATGAAGGAAAACTAAGAGTATTTGTGGACAGCAGAATTACCCTGAAAGAATGGCTAAAGGAAACTCTCTAACCAGAAAGGAGATGATAAAAGAAGGAATCTTTGGGAATATCAGGAAAAAGAGAACAAAGGAAAGAATAAATAAGAGTTAACATTATATAGTTTCTTTCTCCTCTTGAGTTTTCTATATTATGTTTGATGGTAGAAGCAAAAACTATAACACTGATGTGGTTCTCAATGAGAATAGAGGAAATATTTAAGATATTTATATAATAAACAGGGACTTATAAAGGAATTTAAAGGGGAGTAAGTTTCTATTCTTCACTTAAAAATGTCAATACCAGTTGATTAGGATAAGTTATGTATGTATTATATTAATTTCTAGAGCAAGCACTGAAAAAGCTACAGTCATGCATTGCTTAAAGATGTTTCAGTCAATGACAGACCACATATACAATAGGTGTCCGAAAAGGTTGTATCATATAGCCTAGGTGTACATAGGTTATGCTATCTAGATTTGTGTACTTAATTACACTCTATGATGTTCATACAATTATGAAATCACCTAATACATTGCTCAAAACATAACCCTATCTTTAAGCAACACATGTCTGACAAACTCAATTTAATAAATCAAAATAGAATTTTAGAAAAGGCTTAAGTAACCAAAGGAAGGCAAGAGAAAGAAAGCAGAGAAATAAGAAACCAAAGGAGAAAAAAAAAACAAAATATAAAATAATAGACAGACTTAGGTTCTAACATATATTTTTATACTTAACATATATATTTATATATTTATACTTAACTGTATTAAGTATAAATGGTCTAAATATACCAATTAAAAGAGATTTGACAGAGTAGATAAAAGTAATAGTGAATATATGCAGTCCATAAAAAAGTCACTCCATATTACAATTATGTTGAAAGATATCCTTCCTTTTAATCAAAATGAAGCAGGATAAAACTTCCATGAAAAGAAAATTACCAAAGAAAGACAAGGATATTAGATAACAATAATAGGGTCAATCCACCAAGATGACATAGAAATCTCATATGCATACACATCAAACAACAAAGCTTCAAAATATGAAGCAAAAAATGACAGCACTGCAAAGATAAACAGACAAACTTACAATATAGCTGGACATTTCAACACCTCCTCTACAACTGACTTTACAACCAAATAGAAAATCAGCAAGTACAGAAAAATTCAGCAAAACCATCAACCAATGCTCTATAAATCAACATTTATAGAACAATCTACAGAAAACAGAATATACATTATTTTCAAGTGATCATATTTACCAGACATAGTATATCCTTGTCAATAAAATAAACCTCAATAAATTTAATGGAATTGAAATCATACAGAGTATATTCCCTGACCACTATGGAATCAAATGAGAAATCAATAAAGGACAGTAAGAGGAAAAACTACAAAACCTTGGAAACTAAAAAAACATACATCTATGTAATTCATAGATCAAACAGGAAGTCTCAAGGGAAATTAAAGACTATACTGAACTACATGAAAAGGAAAACATACCAAAATTTGTGGGACATAGTCAAGTCAGTAAGAGGAAGGAAACCAACACTATAAGCTTACATTATAAAACAAAGAAACTCTCAAATCAAAAATCTAAGCCCCAACCTCAAGAAACTAGGTAAAGAAAGCAAATCCAGATCAAGTTGTAAATAATAAAGTACAGATATCAAATTTAAAACAGACAATAGTGAAAGTCAGTGAAACAAAAACTTTACTCTTTGAAAAGATAATAAAACTCATAAATCTCTAGCAAGCCTGACAAAGGAAAAAAAAAAAGATACAAATTTTCAATATTAAGAATGAAATGAGTTCTCCTAACAGAGCCAGCCTACAAGTATCAAAAGGAGATACTAAGGGAATACTGTGAACCATTCCACACACTTAAATTTGAGAACTTAGATGAATTAGATCAATTCCTTGAAAAGCACAAACTACCACAACTTATCCATTTAAATAATAGATAAGGGCCTCCCCCGTGGCGCAGCGGTTGAGCGCTGGGTTGCGAAGCTGCCCGCAGCCTCTGCAGTGCCGGTTCGATCCCCGGCTGCTCCCCGGCCACCAGAGGAGGGTCCCACATGGCGCGCAGACCTCTCCTGCCGCCCGCTGCTCCCCTCAGCAGTGTACTTCGGTCCTTCTGACTACTCTGCTCCCCTCTCTGGCTCTGGTGAATTCTCTCACCCTCCCGCGATTCCGACTGTACCCAGTGCTTGTATAAATAAATAAATAAATGTTAAAAAAAAATAAAATAAAAAAAAATAAAAATAAAATAAAGTGGCTTGTGCCTATCTGTTAAAAAAAAAATAATAAATAAATAAATAAATAATAGATAAAATGTATAGTCCTTAACCTCTGAATAAATTGAATTCATAATTTTAAACTCCCATAATACCATTTCATTGAAGTCACCACAACAACTCTTGGGAAACTGAAGCTTCATAGAGATGAAACCTTCTGCTAAATAGTTAAAGTCAGAATTTGAACCTAGATCTGAAAACATTTCCTCTAGAGTTCAGAGTCCACACCACAGCCACCACCTCCAGGATATGCCATCCAATGCTTCTTTTATAGATGGGAAAACTGTAAAAGCCAAATAATTCTAAGTTCAAATCCAGACTCAGAAAGTCACTTAACTTCCATGAGTTTCAGATTCTCAGTAAAATGGAATAGTCACCCTCCTTGCTATAACCTTTCCAGGAATTAACCTGGCACCATCAGTTCCTAACTGGACTTTTAAGAAATCCAGCTTCTATCTATTCAGAGATGTAAATAGATTTATATCACCAATGCCATTTGTAGACTTAACTATTGTGCATAATCATGAAAAGTCCACAATATTGAATAAGTTTAAATTGTGCTAAAGTACAAATTTAAACGGAACACTAAGAACCTCATATGTGCGCACTGAGTACGCAAGAGCAGCCACCCACCAAGGACCTAATGCTCAGCTGGCTTCCTTGTTCTCTAGCAGCCCAGAAAAAGCGTGAGAAAAAATAAAAACTTGGTTTCTTTCATGGAAAATAAATTTCAGGCAGTTAATTTGTGTTATGATATGCACATAAACCTAGGGCTCACAAAGAAATATGATTAAGAAGGAAGATGGCCCAAATTTGAAATTTTTAAAAGAATCAGTTGTGTGCCTTGTAAATGTCAAGTGTCTACTGTGAAAAATGTTCACGTTTTTCTTTTTGTTTTAACCTATATTAAAATGCAAAACATTTCCAGAATCCCCAAAATGTCTCTAATATCAAAATATTATTTGTAATATAAAAAAGTAGGAATAACGTAACTATCCAACTACAGAGGAAATGACCTAGTAACTGATGACACATATATATGGGGACACATATATGACACAAATTAGGTTTAGATGAATATTTAATGACCTGATAAAATAATCACATTGTAATGTTAAATAGGAACAAAAGCCAGTTTACAGTATGATATGTATAATACGATTCCATGTTGTACAAATGTTTATATTTTAAGTCAATTAATGGGAGTTAATGGAAAAAAAAATTAGGAGTGGACTGTGTTGAATAGTAGACTTATAGGTGATTTTTTATTTCCTTCTCTATTCTTTTTTGGTATTTCCTACAATGTCTCTTCTATGTGATCAGGAATAAAAATTTAAATATTAGAAAAAGAAATATCTAACTTTCAGGCTTAGGTGTGGATTAAATGAAATAATTTATTCTGAGTCCCTGTCATGGGGACACACAAAGTATTCATTACTGTTACCTATTCCCAGTCTATGCATTTAGGGTCTCTATATCATGGGCAGTTCACTTTCCAGGTTTGAACCTATAAACTTCCCATAAAAATCGAAAGCAAACATCACAAACTTTATTCAAAAACCTCATTCATTCATTCAAAATGTGCTAGCATCTATTACATGTTCAGCAGCAAACTAGGTTCTGGAGAAAACAAAAATGAAAAGATGACACCTCGGTTTTCAGATAGCTCTGGTTAATGAGTGACACAGATGTTTTTATAACTGTGATATGAAATAATTGCTTTCAATTAGGATGTACCCAAACAACACTGATAACCCAGAGGAAGGAGGTATTTTACAGGAGGTATCCTCTGAGATGCAAAAGAGAAGACATTAATGGGAACAGCATGTAAAAAACAAAGAGGCATAAAAGGAGTATGAAATTTTCCGAGAATTATATGTAGTTAAGTCTTGCTGGGACATAAAGAACAATGAGGAGGAATGGCAAGAAATGAGGCTGAACAAGTAGATAATGAAAGATCTTATCTTTCACACAAAGGAAACTGACTTTTATTCTGTAAGGGAACCACTGAAAGAATTTTAAGCAAAGGAGTGACTTGATCAGCACTAGCAAGGATATTAAGAATCTTGGAAGCCATCTTAATTCCCATTTATTTCCAGGGGAAAGAAAGAAGCCTCCTGCCCCAGGTATATCTGCTTTTAAATGAAATAACATGAAGCAGTAAATAGTACTGTGCATCTGGCGCACAGTAAATATTCAATAAAGATCAGCTGAATATGAATTTGGATGCACTGCACAGGACAGTCCCTAATAAGAGCAGAATTTAAGCAGCATCAGCACCTTCAGTTTGGTCTCGGGTACAGACCAAACATACCCAAGAACAATCAAGTCCCCAGGAACAGCTCCTTTGGTACTAGTGACAACTGAAAACTCTAGAATCTAACATGCAACAGGAGGAGAGGGGCACCATATACTGTTCTGTTGCACTGCAGTATAAAAATCCCTCTAGTGGATTTCTTTCCAAAGCTGGGACTTAAGTTCCAATAATATAATAATGTAACACTACAATTTTTATTCTACATGCTAATCTTTCTGAACTCCTGGGTGACAGGTGCTCATGTGCACCCATGGTTAACCCAGGGAATTCATTAGTGGCATTTCTCTTGCTACTTTACCCAATATCTCCTTAACTTAATTCAATTTAGTTAGATGATGCTGCAGATAAATACTGTAGAAATTAAATATTACTGCATTTCTGCCTCCATATACTGTAGGCATGCAAAATGCTTCAAATAATCAGCAAAGATATAATAGATATATTTTATAGGTGAAGACAATGAGGCTCAGAGGCAAAGCAACTTCTTCAAGGTCACTCTGATAGTAAGTTGCAAAGCCACAACTCAAATCTATGTTTGTTGGACTCAAATATCTCAAAAATGCTCTAGTGTCTCCCCCAAACCTAGTGCCTGAGGCAAAACAAAATAGCCAGAACACAAAAATGATACTTCCTTTGTGGCTGGAAAAAATTATTTTCTAAAAAGGAGAAAAAATTCAAAAGAAGATTGCAAAGAAGAAATACACATGGAAAAAGAGAGAGTAGAAATCAGAAGCCAGTCTGTTAGGCCCTAGTCTGTTAGGAGGGCTGGAAGAACTGGGAGGAGGGCTGGAAGAACTGGGATCTGAGAGGTGGGTTGAAGTAAATTCTCCGAAGAGAAGGTGGAAAAGTTTCTGCGTGAAACCTAAAACAGCCGAGAAAGAAGAAAGTGAGCAATGAGCACCTGGCCACTGCACCCTGTCCAGTACGGCCTTCCCCTGCTTACCTGCCGTGAAACCAGTCCTGGCACATGTCACACTCGATCATGAAGCGGGTCACATCGTAAGGCAGCCGGCAGAGGCAATATACTGGCACAGAGGCCATCTTCGCCTGGTCTTGGAGCCTTCGGCGAGCAGCCAGGTTCGCAGCGTCAAGCAGAGTGGGAGACAGCCGCACAGGTCCTTTCTGGACAATGCTGGACACAAACAACACTTTTAACATAGAGAATCAGGCCCCGCCGCCCCGCCTCCCCCGCCCCTGGTACCAACCCTCAGTGCACAAATGGGGAGTTACCGCTGGGGATGCAACACAGCTGGTGCTGCTGTAGGGGGCAATCAGAGAAAGTCCACTGGCCTTCAGAATATGTAACAAATAAAGAGCAGCGCTCTGGCGTGGAGGCGTTTTTATTTTCCTCCCATTCTTTGGTCCCCAGATCAGTGAGAACTTCTTTCGGGGTTTCAGGGAAATATCTGATGCCTTTTCAGGAAGCTTCTTTAATCCCTTACTGCACCCTTTCCTTGCTCGCCATGGCTCTTTTATTATGACGCAAACCATAGCCTAAGAAATGAGGTTAGGGGATCTCAGAAAAAAAGACCCTTTTCCTCACCCCTAAAATCGGGGCGGCTGGAGAAAAGATGAGGGATCCCTGGAAGTTGGCCTAGATTACTCGAAAATTACCTCGATGCCTTCAGGAACAAGGCAGACAAGGTGCCCAACTCAAATCACAGTTCTGGGGTCGAATTCAAACGATCTTTTCCTTCACTCTCCAAATCATTCCACCTCCGACCTGTCAGGAATCTTATTCCCCCGTCCCCCAAAACTGAAATCAACCTCAATTTCAAAACTGATCAGATCGTTCCTCTACTTCAAGGGTTCTCCTCGCACCTCTGAAACTAAAAAGGATCTCTTTGAATCCCTGAAACGGACTAGAATTTCCTCGCGCTCCCGCAAAACTAAGCAACGATTTTTCCCCACCTCTCGGAAACTGGCAGGCATCTCTTCGCAGCCCCTCAAACTGACGAGGACGCCTCTGTCCCCCAGAACTGACAGGATTCTCACCACAGATCCTTAAACTGTCAGGAACATCCTCAAAGCCCCGGAAACTTACGAGAATCCCTTCACGCCTCCCAAACTGACAGGAACCTCCCAACGTCCCAAACCTGACAAGAATGTTTTCAGTCCTGAGTCCTATAAGGGGCCTCGTCGTCTGCAAAGCTGCAGGGATTGCTCACGTCCGCAGAGGTTAGTCTCACCGATGCCTTGGCAGCTGGGCTCGCTCCGGAGCCGCTCGGCGACTGGCTCCGCAGAGGCACCGTCGGCAGTTCCGGCCCCACCGGCTGCGCGCACCGAATTCTGGGAGCGTCACCGCAAAGCTGCAAGCCGCACTCGCCTTCCCCTCTGATCACCCGCTGGCTCGCGCTGCCCCGGCCGCCCCGCGGTGCTTCAGGGTAGCTTACTCCAGGCTCGTCCCGGGCCCAGCTGTAAGGGCCTACGGGAGACCGTGGCTCAGGCCTAGTCCGATGGCCGTCTGGCAAGTGGGCGAGCGGCGGCGTCGCCAAGTCGGTAGGAAATAGCCGCGAACAAAACCAACGAGGAGGAATGAGATGACTCAGGGGCCAGATCAGAGCCAAACGGCCCCAAAGTCGCCGGGAGCAACCCGGGTGGCGGTGGCAGTATATTCAGAGGAGTCAATAAAGTTTATTCAAAATAACGAGGAAGTTGAGGCGGAGAGGGGAGGAGAAATATGGGTAAACAGCTACCATATTGAGAGTGGCGGCGCTGCCGCGGGAGGCGACCCTACCGCCATCTTATGGGGCCAAGCACGCGAGGTAACCGCGGAAGAGGCGGGGAAGGGCGGGCCGGCGGCTCCCGCGTGACGCCATACAGAATGGAGCTTCACTTTGAGAAAAAGGGGCGGGCCTCAGCTACCTTTGAACCCTCTCGTCTTTTCAAGGGATCCAATCGACGCTAAGGACCTTGAGCCGACAGGCGGGGAAGCCGCCATCTTAGTCGAGGCGGTCACTTGGCTCCATTTTGAGTGGGGCCAGAACCTTCTCTGCTTTCTTCCTCTTCGGGGCAAGTAGGGAGTTAAGCTCCCCTCCTCCAACCGCCACCGCCACACGCTCCTCCCCAGCCTTCTCCTCCTATGAGCGGAGGTGCACGCTGTGACAGCAAACTGCAAGATTAGCGAGTGGCGGCGGGGTGGGGGGGGGGCGTGTCTTAGCTGAGGGAGAGGGCTCACGGCGGCTCCCTTTCATTGAGCACCTTGAGCTGGCAAGACTTTATTTCACACATGGTCTACGATAGTTTATTCTTCACCCTGCAGAAGAAGTTCTGTTAGTATCCCCAAGTGAGAACACACTGGCTTAGGGAAGCCAAATGAGTTCCGAACCAGGAAGTGGAGCCTTGCACTCTCTACCACCCCAGTTTTCTTGCCTTGGCAGTTCCATAAAGCTTCAGTCAACTTCCCAGCTATGGCTAAACTCTCTCTCCGTTGACTCCACTGTTTCACTTCAGCTCAGATACAGTTCAGTGACTTCATGTACATTCACCACGATATCCTGACCACAATCTAAGGATGGGGTGGGACGTTAAGTGAACTCAACCAACATTGTTCAAAATGGCGCTAGCTTTCTCAGACATTCTAGAATATTCTGTAGGAATCCTCTTAGCGTTTACTTTTCTTAAAGGGTCCCACCGCTTTAAAAAATCGGGTGTGTATATGCATGCCCATTTTCTAGGTGATGGGATGTTAAGCTCTGGATGCAATGATGAAAAGGGACTGCAGTGGAAATTGCCAGCCAGTGCATGAGATAAGTAATTAGAATACAACCTTCAGTAAACGCACAGTTACCTCTTGCAAAGAGCAAGATGAAGCTATTCTCAGGGAGGCTTAGAGGATATATGAAAGTTCATTAAATTGACAAGCAAGTACATTGTAGATAAAAGGGTCAACAGATAGGAACCTATGAAAGCACATGGGGAAACATTTGCACAACGCAGTTGAATATTAGGTATTATCCTGTAAGCAATAAGAAACCACTGAAGGTTTTTCAGCAGTAAAAACTGAGTCACAGGTTAAGTGGGACCTGAAATTTTGAGTTTGTGAGGTAGGATTATTTATTTATGATTTATTTATTTATGTATACAAGAACTGGGGCACAGGGCCTCCCTGTGGTGCAGGTGGTTGAGCGCAGCACTGTGACACTGTCCGCAGCCTCTGCTATGCCGGTTCGATCCCAGCCAGCCTGCGAGGGTCCCACATGGTACAACAGACTTCTGTCGCACCCACTGCTCCCCTCAGCAGTGTATTTCGTCAGCCTGCCTGTTCTTTTCCCTGCTCTGTCTCTGGTGAATCCTCTCACCCTCCCGCGTATCTGACCTGTACCCCGGTTCTTGTATAAATAAATCTTAAAAAAAAAAAAAGAACTGGGCCATAGGCTAGAGGTGGGGTGTGTGTGTGTGTGTGTGTGTGTGTGTGTGTGTGTGTGTGTGTGTGTGTGAGAGAGAGAGAGGACCCACCAGAGACAGAGTGGGAAGCAGAACAGGCGATTGACTGAAATACACTGCCTAGTGGAGCAGTGAGTGAGGTCTGCTGGGCCATGTGGGTAGCCAGGGGGGCCAGGGATACAACTCGTGCTGCAGTGGTTGTGGATAGCTTCATAGGTTGCTTTTTAACTCCTTGTGCCACCAGGGTGGCTCCCGGTGTGATTTCTTTAAGAAAAGAACATAGAGGGCCTTCCTGGTGGCACAAGGGGTTAAGCACAGCACTGTGAAGCTATCTGCTGCCTCCACAGCACTAGTTTGATCCCCTGCTGGCCAGGGAGCTAACCACATGGCTCAGCAGACCTCTACTCTCTCACCGGCTGCTCCCCTCAGCAGTGTATTTCAGTAGATCCACCTGTTCTGCTCCCCACTCTGTCTCTGGTGAAGCCTCTCACCCCCTGCACCTCTGGCCTGTACCACAGTTCTTGTATACATAAATAAATCTTTAAATTAAAAAAAAGAAAAGAACATAGACATGTGAATACAAAATTAGGTCCAAAGGTAGAGTATTTCTAGAAGCACTTCGTAGAAGCCATTCCTACAACTGGGTAATAATGATAGATGGAAGTTATATAAACCAAGTATAGCTGTTCCACTAAAACCAAACTAAATGTTTATCCCAAAATAACTTCCACTTAGCTGGATCTCAGAAATATCTGAGGCAGCGCCAACACCATCTAATGCAAGGGAAAATGTGACCAGGAAAACTCAGTGGAAAGGGAGAGCAGTTTTAACCAATTGTGGTTTAAATACATTTTGCAAACTTTACAAAACATGACCATGTGACCATATTGCAAGTGGCAGGCCCTCCAGCTTAAGCTTTCTTAGTTTCATGAAGGAAGGTGTTTGTTTTGATAGGCAGCATGTACATTAAAATCAGAAAGACACAGAGATTATCCTGGGCCCTTCAAGAGGATGACACACAAATTCATTAAATGTTCCATAATATAAAGGGAAAAAATGAGGGAGGAGGCCATTGTGTTAGTTATGAAGAAAAGATAAGACCTGAACGAAGACAGTTGTAATAAGGATGGAAAAGGATCAGATAATGGGATATTTTAGAGGTTGAATAGACATGGTTTGGGGACTAATTGAACATACTAGGTGAATGAGTAAAAGGAGTGTGAGTTCATTTCTTGGTTTGGTGTCAGTGGATGATGGTGCTCAGAAGGAAATGGAGGTTGGTAAGGAAAAGAGACAGGTTCAGTTTGTAGTATGTTAAGGGATGTCGGGAATATTCATTCAACAATTACTTATTGAGCATCTGCTATGCAGCAAGCACTGTGGTAGGTGTTGAGCATATAGGAGTAACACAAATAAGGTCTCTGTCTTCATGAAACTGACATTCTACTAAGGAATCAGTAATCAAATAAAATTTCATTCATATATTTATTGAGCACTTTTCTAGACACTGAGGAATCAGGGGTAAACAAAACAGACAAGGTCCCTGCCCTCCTATGATTCACATCCCAGCAAGAGAGATCGATAATACAGTGACTCAAATAAGAGAATTCCAGATTGCTGTGAGTGCTGTGAGAAAAATGAAATAAATTATGAGATAAAGATTTGGATGGAAGGTAGTCTATTTTAGGATAGTAAAGGAATGTAAAGGGTAGTAAAGGAATGTCTCTTGTAGAAGGTGACATGTAAGCTGAAACCTCAATAACAGGAGCTGGCCAAGGACTGGGCAGAGGAATAAAGTGCAAAAGCCCTAATGTGGTGGTGGGGCCAGTTCAGCGCATTCTCACCCTCACACGAACACCTCCTACGAATTTATAATGGACTGGTTGGGGTTACAGGTGAAGGTTGAAGTTGGGTCTACAGACATGAATAAGAGATCCTGTGTGTACTCTTAAGGAGGATACAATATATTGCAGGAAGCAAGGTACAATGAACAATACAGGGCTGAAAGAGGTCAAACCCTAAATGCTGCCTAAAAGTATGAGCAACATGTGTGGGCAAAAAGAGGGAGCCACAATCAATTCAAACATGTTCAGTGGGTGTGTCACATGATAAGGTGCCATTTGACCCAGGCACAGTGGTACCCATCTCCCACCTTCTAAAAGTTCCTCCCCAGTGTTCTTCGGAGGTGGGATAAGTGTGCTAAAGGATAGTAGGAAAGACAGGACTGTCATGGGGCTGAATCCTGGCAGTTTTATTTGCACTACCAAGGGTGGGTGGCAGACATCTACTGCCCTGGAAATGTGTGCTCCTGTTGTGTTTCTCAACATTAGTGCATATCTGAATCGGTCATCATAGAACAGGGCTGTCCTGGAAACCTTCCACCCCCACCCCACCTCCACTTAACAGTTGTAAATATTTATTTTTAATTACACAGGCAATAGTAAATGCATTCCCATTGTAAACATTCAAATGGCTAAGCTGAAGATCCCTCCTGACCACGATTCAGTTCCTGCTTCCTTCCTTAGAAGGAACCTCAGTAGGCTCTTTTCTGATTCATCTCTGTGTATATGCACAGATAGCTACTGAGATAAAAAAAATTATGAGGACTAAAGTAAACTATAAAATGCATGAGGTAAACAGGACAAAACTGGGGGGGAAATTACACGAGGAAGAACAGGCTTGCTCCAAAGCAGACTTGAAAGCACAAGGACAGTGAAAACAAAATAATGACATTATCTGAGAATTTACTGAGTGCTAAGCACTGGTCTAAGCTCTTTACAAGCACAACTCAATCCTTACAGCAACCCTATGAGGTAGATATTAGTGATATCCACATTTTATGGATGAGGAAGCTGAGTATGAAGACTTTTACACACTTAAGTAGTGCGTATCCACACTGTGGCTCCTGGTAATACAGGTCCTGTGTGCAGGTTCTTTACCT